CGAAGGGAATCGAACCTCTGAAATACGCGCCCAGCGTGCAGACCAGTAAACCACGAAGGCATACTAGGAAGGCGGGGGAAATACCTTATATACCCCATTTTAAAGGGTGACTGGGGTATTTAGGGGACCCAATCGCCAACTCCTGGGTGTGGAGAATGATCATCCACCACCCTTTTAGTTCGCGCGCCACTGTACAGACATTATGTATTTTAGAAGCAGAAGTGAAAAATTAGCAATGCCTTCTCCAGGAATCGAACCGCGGAGCTCTGGAATAAGCGCCCAGCGTGCGTCCTCAGAGGCAGAATGCATTTCGTTATTTTTAAAGTCAAAGAAAAATTGTATTTGCTTAGAAAGTACCAATCCGAGTATGCAAGGATCTGAAATATCTACCACGTATGGCATGTGATGGTATCGGCACATCAAACGTGATGCCAAGGTTTAATTGTCCGTCGATGTCGATCTTCTCCCCAGACACTGTCTGAAGGGCAACGCAGGGCGGCGTCCAGATAAGTTTATCTTCCAGTTGTTCAGCCAAGATCTTTTCGAATGATTGTAAAATTCGCTCCTTTATCGATGGTCTTACTGCAAGGAACTCCATTGACATGTCCCATGATGAAGAGTCCATTACTGCTGCCATTCTGAAGCGCTTTGAAATTGGGCTCATCATTATCTCTCAACCACTGGCCGCAAGATGGCCAATAATTTGACGTCATATAAAGACGCCGTATTTGGCGGCATATAAGACGCATTCTTATTTTTAGACGGCCACACACAAGGAGAAAAGGTTTCAATAGCGTGGTTTCTTTTAGTTCTCACGTTTCGTAAAGCCAAATAAAACAATATTGAATGCAATTACCTTCACGTACAAGACTGTGTCCTTCACGTATAAGACGCAGGTAACTTTTTTGAGACCAAATTTAGGAAAAACAGTGCGTCTTATATGCCGTCAAATACGGTAGTTTCCGTGCTTTCTGCTAGGAGAGATAATAGCGTCCGTGCCCTGGGGTGTTCTGCAGTTTCTCCGTATGTTGCCTTCAGAACCGCAGTTCCAGCATTTTAGTATCAGTTTCTTGTCTCTTCTATTTCATCTCCAGGCACTGACTTGTCAGATTAAATCATCTAAAGTTTAGAGGATATTTGTGCGTTTGCTATCAGAGGAGCGGCGAGATAACAGGCCTTAGCCTGAGAATCCTATCCATTCGCGTCCGCCACTATAGAAAATCGTGACTTATACACTTACCAGGAAGTCTTGCCATCATATGTGGATAGCTTCAGAGAGGTATTTCAGCTGGTTGAAATATTTTCTGAGTTTCGCAATCTCCCAAATTTTGCGTTAGGGGCAAATGCGACATAAGAGAACTGAGATCGACATGAAAAAAAATCTGAGATCCAAAGATATTAATTTGAAATATTTTAAAAATTTGGATTATTATGAATTTCAACAAATTTACCAGTTTTTAAAGAAACAAAAAGAGATTTTTTGCACGACAGAACTGATAGAATGTCAAGCAACATTAACGGAGAAATTTTAAAAATCTAAACCAATCGCATGATAAACTGAATTACTGTAGTTCGTTAATATTCTGAAACAGCGCTTATTAAAGCTTTTATTTAATGCATCGAATACTCTTTAATGGGTTTATGTTAATACCTTCCTCAAATAAATCATTCTCACACATCTTTTCTATAATACTAGAAATGAATTTTTCAGATTAAAACAATGAGAAAGTTTTAAATAATAAAATTATATTAGGATTACAGGAAAGCTGAACAAAAATTGACGTAAGTTTACCTCTTCCTCGAAAATAAATTTCTTATTACTTAGTATTATTATATTACTTATTACTTATTTCCTTATTACCGCCCTTATCAGGTGGTTACATAAGTAATCCATCCTTATCAGGTGGTCTGTTATCATGAACTCGCAGATGTCCAAGTACATTTAATATGCCGATTTCTTGTGTAATTTCATTGTGTTTACTTATTGTCTGCATATGCGATAATTTCTATCCCACTATCAATAGGAATCTTGTTCCTTTATGCAGCGTTGTACGTGAATTTCGGCGATCATAAGGAAGACTTAAGAATACTTAAGCAACAAAAATACTTAAGGTAAATAACCTAATAACCTACAGGAAAGCACTTAAAAAGAAAGTATACAAAGAAGAATTTGTTTTTAAATTTCAGTGTTCTTTTAATAAGACTCTTACTATATATTAGCAATTCCTTCCCCACATAAAATACTCTCGAACACTACAGAAAGGAAAAGGTTGTATTGATTTTAACTAATACATATGCAAATTACTGTAAGTATATTTAGTAATAATTCGAATGATTTTACTAGCGCCAAAATGGGATATGTCTTGAGCTTATCTAGTAATGTAAGCCTCGAACTTCTCTAGTGATATTAGGGGTGATGGTCATTTGGTAATGAAAAAAAGTGTTATGGATCATTGGAGTTATTTGAAGTTAAAGTGGGACATAGAAACTTTTCTGAAGTATGAAAGACAAAAACCTTTGCCGATACTTTTTAATTTTTTTTTTTAAGAAACTGCTAATAAAGAGTTAATGCTTCGTCTGAGTTCCTGTACAGTAAGCAATTAATTCCGTCACAATTCAATTCGACTAATATTTAATGCACTAAAGATACCTTGTTGGTCTTCATTCCTTTCTAATTTTTTTCCCAGATTTTTCTTTCTCATCCTTATCAGTTACAGATCCGTGATTTCGGGATAAAGTAAACTGAAACGAGTGAAATAAGCCGATATTTAAATGTTAAAGTTGCCCAGTCTACGATCACTCATTTTTATTCAGACTAACAGGCTGGATGTATGAGAGTTTTCGTGTTTTTCCCCATGTATACTAGCCAGTTTCCCTTAAAACGTTCTCCACCAAGGCATGCCTTCCTGCTGGAAGATAGCCCTCGAGCTCCTTAATAAATTAAACTCAACATGCGATTCACTGTTTTATAGCCGGGTTTTCGTTCAAGGCATTTAAATTTTATTTTTAATATTGTTACGAAATGACCAAGCGCGGTAAGATGGCTTCTCCGCAAAGCAGTTTTATGGTTGCCATAAAATGGCAAGGAAAGGCAGGGTTGCCACATTTGGCGAGAAATCGTCCAATTTGGCGACAAATTTGACGATATACCATGGACGGTTGGAGAACCTTCTGGAACCAATTCTTACCGGTTTAGCCCAGAATGTTCTCGAACACAAGCCGAAAGCTACATAAACCCTGCTGGTCCGCAGTCAGTGAGTGAGTGCCTCATAAAGTGTGAGTTAGTTAGTACCGAGTTGGTGTCCCGTCTAGCGAGTCAAGGGAACGACTGAACCGAAGAGTCGGGAGCCGTGCTCTGTGTGTCGTCGAGTGCATCGCGAGTTGTAGCGTGGAGAGTCTCGAGAGTACGTGGAGTTCCGAGAACGACCGTGCAGAGTCGGAAGCTGTACTCTGGTGCTTTGCAGTGAAGCTGTCTCCATCGTGATAGCTTGATAACCTGAAAGCTGTGTTGCTGATCCTGTCAGCGTGTTTACAACAGTTCGACGACTGTAAAAGAGATTTTGAAGCTGTCCTGATTAATACCGGCCAATAAAGTGTGTTTCGATACTTCATCCAGTGTCGTCGTTATTCACTCCAAATCTACAAACCCCGTACGAACGTGAAGGAAGAAAATAACGTAACAACTGGTGTCAGAAGAAAAACGCAACAATATTGTTACGAAAAGCCCAGCTGCGGTAAGGTAGCTTCTCTACAAAGTGGGTTTAGGGATGCTAGATTTGGACCGAAATCGTCCATTCGGCAACAAAATTGATGATAAGCTATAAACGGAGCGAGAAGTTTCTAGAACGAATTCTTACCGGCTTTCCCCAGAATGTTCTCGAAGACAGGTCAAAAGCTATAAATACCCTGCCTGTATGCAGAGTAGCAGTTTATCGTGAAGTGCATCTTGAGCTACTAGAGATCAGTAGTAGTGTCGTGAGTTCAGAGGTTAGCTCGAGAGACAATGAACCGAGTCGGCAGTTGCACCTTAGTGCTTTGCCGTGAAGCTGTCTTCACCGGTGTAGCCTAAAAGCTATGTTGCTGATTCTTTCAGCATGTTTATTGTAGTTTTTCGACTGCCGTAAACGCGTCCTTGGAATTCTTCTGTGTAATACTGATGAATAAATTGTATTTTGATTCTTTATCAAGTATTATCATCAGTCACTCAAAATCTACGAACGCGTAGAATACAACAGCTGGTGTCAGGGGTGGAGCTTACGAGTGAATGGCAGTGACCCGCCTATAGGAAAAAAATACCCTGGAGGAGGATCAAGTTGACGAACTTGTTAGCAGCAGTAAAAGTCGGACTGGAAGTGTTGAAAGCCGGACAGAAAGAGATGAAGGCTGCGATGAAAGCCGAATATGAAGAGATGAAGGCAGCGACGAAAGCTGGATATTAAGAGATGAAGGCTGGATAAGAAGAAATAGTGAGCGAAATAAAATCGTGTTCAGAAGAAATAAAAGCCGGACAAGTAAAGCTACAAATGCAACTCCAACGGATGGAGGTGACGTAAAAGAAGATTAGAAATGACATCGTGGAGTTAGAGAGAAAATTGGAGGCAAAACAGAAGATGTGGAAATAACAGTAGTGGCACCTGAAGGGGAAAAAAAAAGATGGAGAAATGAAGGAAGTAGCTGATGAAGTGTCTGGGAAAGATCAAGAAATAAAGGATGACCACCTAACGAGATTAAAGAAAGAGAACGAAATGATGAAGAAGCCTTTGATTCTCAAGTACCTGAAGTGGAAACGGAAGAAAGTGATAATACTGTTCGTAAAGATGAAGAAATAAAAGAAGTGGCTAGTAAAGCATCTAGAAAAGGTGAAGAAATAATTCATGGAAATAAGGTTCCATGAAAGATGGAAGAAAGTGAAAATGTAACTGTTAAGTTGGTAGAAACTGAGAGTGAAGTTCAATTAGTAAGTAGGCATTGAACCATCTGAAAATTCATGTGATGCAGAGATGGGAGAAGCAGATGCACAAAGTGCTCCAGCATTGCAAGAAAATACATCCACTGCACAAACTAAATGTATGTCTCCTAATACAAGTTGTACAGACGCAAACTTATTTTAAACCAGAATACTTCGGTTTGCAAAGAGTTGGATTCTATTCATAGCTTTAATGCATAATTTGGAACTGGTTCTCAGGAATTAAAGGTAAATAAGTATATGCTAACTGCTAAAAATACAGAGGTGAACTGTACACATGATGCGAATAAACTACTAAAACTGTTTCAGATCTTGTTGTGGATGAAAAATCTGAAAAGATTGAATCTTCAGACTGTGGTACGCAAAAGAGAATACACTTGAGAATTGCAGTGAAAAAAGTATTTAACCCGGGTAAAACTTACTGAGAAGCCTAACACTGAAATACATTTCGAACTTGCAGTGAAAAAAGTATTTAACCCGGGTAAAACTTACTGAGAAGCCTAACACTGAAATACATTCCGAACTTCATTTATAAAACTTAAAATTGTTAAGTGGTTAATTTGTGTATATAACTTGTAAGATAGCTTTCCGGCAAAGCGGTTTTAGGGTTGCCAGAAAATGAAAAAGAAAGGCAAGGTTGCCATATTTGGCGGGAAATCGCCTATTTGGCTATAAAATTGGCGACCTGCTGTAGACGGAGCGAGAACATTCTAGAACGAATTCTTGCTGGTTTTCCCCAGAACGTTCTTGAAGACAGGTCAAAAGCTACAAATACCCGGACTGTAAACGGAGTAGCAGTTTATCGTAAAGTGCACCTTGAACACTTGAGTTCAGTAGTAGTACCGTGAGTTAGGTTAGTTCGGGAGCGACAGAACCAATTAGGAAGTCGTGCTCTGCCGTGAAGCTGTTTTCACCGTTGTAGAGTGAAGGCCGTGTTGCTGGTTCTTTCGGCGTATTTATGGTAGTTTTTCGACGCCTGTAAACATATCTTTGGAACTCTCCTGTGTAACACTGAAGAATAAATTGTTTTTTGATTTTTCATCAAGTGTTTTCATCAATCACTCCAAATCCACGAACCCGCAGAACGCAACAATATTCTTGATTGATTTTTAAATGAGAGTAAGTTTGAATCGTTGTAATTTTTAACTGTCATAATTTGGAAGTGGACTGTACAAGTCTGGAAATAAAAATTATTTAAAAAGTAAGAAAACCAGATCAGGACATAGACTGGATTACTATTACGAAACGCACTAGGGCTAAGCGCCTAGGGGGAAGGATACTTTAGAGAAGGGCTCTTTAAGGAAAACTGGCTCGTATTCATGTTACATATTCCAAATCTGGGCATAATTAAAGGTTACATATCATTTGTTTGAAAGAAACTTAGTTTTTGCATTCACACACACACACACACATACATACAAAAAAAAAGTCTGAGTTTATCATATGCATCGTATTTTCTACGTTTCTTTATACACACACGCATTTCCCAAAAATTACTCAATAATTGTTTTCTGCTTAATCCCTTGAATGTATAAATGGACCGTGTTAAACACTGTTGTCATACTGCATCTTTGAGTAATTCTTCCTCTAAGCCCCTTAGATGCTTATCTTTATTTATTTATTTACATTTTAGCTCGATCTGATCATGAAATTTTAAACTTAGCAGTATTATTTAAACCTCTGTAAACCCATTTTTGTAAGTACTGGGCATAAAATATATGTTTTACAAAAAAAATTAGAAAATTAACTTTTCGTTTATTTTATTATTTCATTTTTTTTTTTTTTTTTTTTTTTTGAAATTCTAGTGAATTTACCAAAAGCTAACTCATTTGTTAGAAAAGCAATGAATTGAAATAGACTGAAAGATATTTTGTTAGGATGGAATTTCGAAATAGATAGAATTAATTTAGTAATGGCAAAAATGCATAAGTAACCCCCTTCCCAGGTTCTTTCAAATATGTGCCTCAGTGAATGTTCACTCTCTGTCGATCACATTTGCCGTGGCTGCATGACTTTTAAAAACTCTGTCTTTTCATCTTTCTGTCGGGTACTTATTGTAGCAATACTTGAAAAATTATAACCTATCACTCGATCTCTGTTCTCTCAACGTCCTGTCGCTCGATGTTTCTCACTCTCGTTTCTCTCTTTATCTCTGTATTTTCTTCATTAGATTATAAGGTATTTCTCCCACCTTCCTAGCGTGCCTTCGCGGTGTAGTGGTTTTGCACGCTGGGCCGGTATTCCAGAGGTCCGTGGTTCGATTCCCGGCGAAGACTGTTGCTGATTTTTCATCTCTTGCTGATTTTTCATCATGGCAGATCGGCTTTTCCAACTAACCTAATGTCTCTATAGTGGCGCCCGAACTAAAAGGGTGTTGGATGATGATTCTCCTCACCCAGGATTTGGCGATTGGGTCCCCTAAAAACGCCACTCGCCCTTTAAAAGGGGAGTATATAAGGTATTTCTCCCGCATTCCTAGCGTGCCTTCGTGGTGTAGTAGTTCTGCACACTGGGCCGGTATTCCAGAGGTCCGCGGTTCGATTCCCGGCAAAGGCAAGTTGCTAATTTTTCTTCTCTCCGGCTTCCAAAAAATAGATAATGTCTCTACAAGTTTGAAACTAATGAGATACTGCTCCATGTTATTTAATTTCACTTAAATGTACAAACGTCGATTTGGATTTCAAAGGATTTAAGTTATTAATTCTTTTACACATGGTCTTGTAAAAATTTTAATTTCATTATACTCCTTTTATCAAAACTGCTGCCTGGGTTAAAGTTCTTGAGTTAAAAAAAAAAAAAAGTAAAGAAATTTTTATCCGCGGAAAAAGTTATTTTGTTTTAGGTTTTCGGCGGTTTAAAGACACACTAAGGTCCTTTGCTAAAGCTTGTGAATGTCTAAACAATTTAGATATGTGGAAGCTTTAAAACAGGATGGTCACGTTATTAATATTCGCATTACGTGAATGCACATAAAAAATGGGAATAGTTTGTCTGCAATATCTGCAACTGGGAAACTCATTTTGAATCTAAATTCATAAAAAAAGAACTGAGAAATTCCATGAGAAATGTTTTTGCAGAAACTGACTCGGCAGATATATTTCACAATTTTTGCATCCTTTAAATGTTGAAACTTATTTCCATCAAACTGTGAGTATTTATTATTACTAAATTTGTTGCCACAGATCTCAGAATTCATAATCAACATGAATCATACTATTCATGATTCGTAGCTGTTATCATAATTTCTCTTCTTTTGGTATTTAAAAACATGTAAAATAATACTCTCAAAAGTGTGTTATTTTATTTATCTGATTCTGAATTAGAAAATGTATTAATATTTTTTGCGGGGTATATTGCAGAACACTTGGATAAACGAGCAAATTTAATATTTTTCAACTAATGTTATATACAGGATTTTCTAAATTTCACTAATTTTCAAATAATTGTTTATTTAATATGTTATTCAGGATTTTATATATTTTGCAGGTATATGCATACTATCAATTATTAATAGATTTTAAATTAACTATTAATGCAGAAATAATACTGGATAGTTAATTACTGATATTTATTAATAATTATTTACACATTAATAACACAATATTGCTTTCGAAATATTCTGAAGAGTAATACTCGTTGCACGTGAACTTCCTCTTGCCCAGTCTACGCGCTTCTGAGAATTTTTTCGTTGATTGATTCGATTTGTCTCAGTTTCTACTCTTTAGGCATAATTCAACGAAAAAATTTAGTAAATATTTATAGTGCATAATAAGCCTTTCAAAGTAACTCTAACCTTCTAGAAGAAAACACGAGTATTAACTTAAGGCAGGGCCGGCGCTAGAGCCTGTGCAACCTGTGCAGCAGCACGGGGCGATATATTAGTTTAGGGGCGACAAAATATTTACAATTTAGGAAGATACTGGATGCTCAGAATTTCGGAGTCGCAGAGTTTGCGCCGGGCGGTAAAAAATCTAGCGCCGGTCCTGACTTCACTTCCTTATTAGAGAATTCATACAAGATGAATTTGATCAAGAATTTTGTAAAACATTTCAAAAGATGGCGCCACTATTCAGGCATTTTCATGCTTTAGCAATAGTTGCGTTAGGGTTTGCTCTCTTAACAGAATTAATTTTTTAGTCGTCTTTAATGAATGAGAGACTCAGGTTTCGCAAGTATGTAGATATCCAGAAGAACACTCAGTTTTAATAATTTTAATAATCCTTAATTTTAATGAATCCTTTGTATAGGGTCAAGTTCCTTTTTAATAATGATTAAATTTTTAATGGTGATTGAATGTTCGCTACTATTGCTAAACTAAACGAGTGGATTGTACTTCGTAAAATCAAACAACTTTATTACCTCTAATTTCCAATATATTACATATTACTGACAGGTTCTGGTATGTTGCCTTAACCGAATCTAGAGGTTAAGGGAGTGTTTTCTTTTTCTACAGTGCTGTGTTCTAATTTAACATGCCGCCGGTTGAAATTCCAGTATGTAAATTATAAACATACAGTTTAAAATTTTTAAGAATAACTTAGTCTCTTCGATGCAAATATGAATAGCTAACAGGTAATTTTCCATCATGAAATACAGTGTAAAATAATATAAAAAGTTAATCGTACAGTATAAATAATATAAATATTATAAAAAACGTAAACTAATTCACTATGTTACAATCTTACTTGTTCTTTTAAAACAGTTCTATTTTCATTACAAAACATAATTTTCAATAAGAACACCGTAATGTAAAGCTAAGCATTCTTATCGTTGATAGGCAGTAAACACATTTTTCCGAATACGTCGAATATATACACCGTTTGATGTTTTCACTTTAATAACTGTGGTTTAATTACTTGTAAAAGTAACAGATAAAACATCGACAGTTCTAGCTAAGAGCATTTAAATGGAAGGTTATCTTTCCTTTAACACAACATACCTTCCTTTAAATTTTCTTTATTATTTAACCATTTGGTGCGCTGTTGAAGTTGTTTTCTATAATCAGTTTGCCAATATTTCCAAATAATTTCAATGAACTTAATAATAATCTGCAATTTAAGAAATCTATTAACGGTAAGATGAGACACATCAGGTTCAGGATAAAAATTAGTGGAACATC